TACGTGGTAACGCATTCTACATTCTCATTATTGCATGCCAAAAGAACTGAGAGGTTGACGTCTATACATAGAGGACCAAGGTCTGTATGTTGATCCAGCAATGATTAAATTTCAGTTACGTATTTTATTAAAATTAGCTGATCCGAGATTATATTTGCACAAAATATTTATGTACGGCTGAGTTTGACTAAGTGGGGAACTACGAGCTTTCCAATCCTTATTCTATAACCCTGAAGAAAAAAATCGTTGGCTTTAGTTGGTTGTAGAGTTCACACAAATGAAATAGATAAACCTATAAATTAGAAGAATCTAATAATAAATGTCAAGTTTACACCTTCCGAGTATGTATAAAGCCCTTATTTGCCGTATAACAGATTTAGTCTTGTTTTTGGAAACATGTTTAAATTCTAAAACATTGTTTAATTAAAAACAATTTTCTTCATTTATATAGCTATTATGTTTGTCAGTTGCTTAATATAAAGGTACGAGTCCAGCCTATTCGCGTCAATTATTTCCTCCTGATAACTAGCAAGAGGTTAATATTTTAGTGAGTATAACTTGTTATGTGACATTTTAGTGATGTGAACTTAACCTTAGTGTTGGAGATATGGAAAGATATCTTAAAACTGATGAACTATGCCAAAATAGTATAAATTGCTCAAGTAGTATTCTTTTGAAATTAACTCATGTTCCCCGGGGGTTCTTGTAACAGGCTGAAAAAACGTTATTTTTTCACCTTAATCAGTTGTTTTTTCGAGTTCGTTCTATAAACTAGGATCTCACGGTTTGCTGGAAATGTGAGACATACTGGAGACGTACGGTCTGCGACTGACTTTGAAAGTGGTAAACTGGTTACTGCTATATAAAATTTTTAGCTTTTGTCTAATACAGAGAAGTTTAGATCACTAAAGATCGTATGTATTGAAATGAGAGAAACTTTAGCAGATGCTTCATTTTTTCCGCGATCAGCTCGTCACGCGTATGGAGAAGAAGGCGTAGTCTTTTTCTTATTTTCATACTTTACCTTTTTTATACACTTAAGTTCGAGCGCTCTTTACATCTGAATGAGGAAGATTCTGGCTATTCAGTTTGCCCACGTAGCAGTTAGCCCACGTAGCTTCCCTACTTCTGCCTGATATATGCAGCAGGCAACAGCAACGAAAAACAGGTAAGTGATATCAACAGCTATATACCCAATAAGCTCTCTCCAGTGCTAATTTTAACTTCTGGAAAATAACACAAAGACAAACACGAAAATGGCACTTTTCAAGTTTAAAATTGTAAACTACCTTTAATTTTTTCACTGTCACTTTAGCTAAAGCTTTTATCCGACATATCTTTCAACAGATCATTTTAGCAACACAACTAAAGAAAAGAACCTGATAGAATAAAAATCGCTCCGAAACAGTGCAGCAGTTGGAAAACTTGTGGCGCGTTGTAGAAGAGTTTTGCACAAATTATCAAACAGGGGATATCTCAGAATCAATGTGCATTCATTTACCGCAAATGAACGAAGTGCAGCGATTTAAATTCAATACAATTTAAATTATGAATTTAAATTATTTTTATAGTAGATTTTTGTGCGGAGCAGAAATTTAAGGCGGGACCATTCCCTTTTTTGAGAAAAGGCCGGTGAAGTCTCCTATTTCATCCTGTTCTCGACTTTTAAAAAAAGGCTCTTATCTTTTTCTTAGAAAACAAACTTGTAAGGTCACCTATATGATGTTCCATAACATAACTATGACTGAAATTATTTATTACGTTCAAAACGGACTTGCGCGCCATAACCAATAGAAAAACCAAGTTCTCTTGCACTAATAAGCGAAGGGGACACAGCCGATCGCTTGCTTTTTCAGGCGACTCACCCAGAAGAGCACGTGCAGACGGAACTTTGGTTGTTGTTTTGAATCACCCAAAGAATAAGTTAAAATGCAAATCTTACCACGTCTAGTTGAAATACAATCTTAGCAAGCCCCAAACAAAAGAAACATATTTGGCAAAACGTTTTCCAAAACTATTTTTCCTTATGAGTTTTCCTAAGGCCTCGTTCTTTTTCACAGAAAGATTCATTTAATTTACACAGTCACCCAACATAGAAGCACGTATAGAATAGCCTGAACCATGTACCTTTCATCAGTTTGTTTTTCGGTGAATTAAAGCTCTCTGTTCGTGAAAAATAATAGAGACCGTTCGTGCAATGGCGTTTTACTAAAAAAACGAATAGGGGGAAACTGTGATGGACGCAACCAATCAACTACGTGTATAATTCATTTAAGTTTTATCCTCCCCCGTAAAAAAATATATAAAAGAAAAAGACAGCTGCTAAGATTTAGAGACTTACAAATAACGAGCAACACGCAACCCCCTCTCTGTGAAGTACATGGAGGTCGGTAGAGGCATGGGTAAAAAGAGTGTCTGTTGTCTTTAACGCGTTTAAGTCACTCATTTCATTGTTGATCAAAATCGAAAGCTTTTATGAGGTTTATACTTGGAATAGCCCTTATTTATGGGCTACCAGTGGGAGTAATGTTGGCCTACTCGATACTTGGAAAACGATTATTTTCATAGGCAGAGCTCCGTCCGTGCTACTGTTTTAACCATATTAACAGACAGTTGCGAAATTTAGAATTTTTTTATCTCCTCTGTGAAAATCACTATACAGTGAAATCTCTCAGCGGTATTAAGCAGATCCCCAATTAAGCGGACACCCTCTATTAAGCGGACACTAAGTCTGGTCCCGAAACGAACGTCTGATATTTCCCTTTATAACGAACCCCTGTTCAGCGGACACCTCTATTAAGCGGACGCGGACACTAAAATAGGTTGTATTTGGCTAATTTCTATTGTTAAAAACCTCTCCGGCATCGGATTGAATTGACAATAGTAGTATTGGATTACGTCCTTGAAATACGTGCTGAAGTCAGTTAATGTTTTTACATTTACAAACAAATTAAAGTTAGTAATCAAAGGGAATGAATTTGAACTCTGGATAGCTTCTTTCGTGACAACATGCAACTTAATCACGGTACAGAGTAACCGTTGCCGAATGCTGATCGTGAACAAACATTGCGCAATTTTTACAACCCCCTATTAAGCGGACACGTGGGAAGGTCCCGAAGGTGTCCGCTTAATAGAGGTTTCACTGTAGATGACTGCCAGTCTGACCCCCTAATATATTATTTTTTATGTATGTCTTCTGACCTCGTTGGCAAGTACAAAATACTAAAGAATTCTTACTTTCAAACAAGTCCAGGAAGGCTCATTTATATACATATGAAAGGATGAATAAATTATGGGCCGCCATTATGAAAGAGGTCTATTGTATTTCTTGACCAAGAAAAACACGTCCCAGATTTTCTTTAACTCAGTTAGTCTCAGTTGATTCCTTTGGTTTTAACCTGAGATCAGGCCCAATTTTAGCGTTTCTCATACATTCTCTCTAACGGCGAATGTTATTTTCAAAGCGAAACGAAAATAGAGCCTGATCTCAGGTTATTTGGTTTAGAATATGAAGAGCAGCTTCCAATTCAAGTTTGCAAAAGCAACGGTAAAAAAACGATGACAAAGACATCGGTTTAATAAAGGTAAAGTTACAAGAACTTCTTGGTCTCCATTTATCTTTTCTGCTTTTATATTATTATACCCAAGCGATTTAACCATTCTATGTTTATTTCCGTCATATTTAGGACTGTGTCTTCACCAAGAACTTTTCTGACACCGCTCTTCACGTTTTCTGGACTGGTGCGCTAAGAATCTACAAGTGTACAGACTGTTGCAAACGCTGGTACTTCACTTTCAACGGGCGCATAGTGTTCAGCTCCCTTACCCATTGACGGTATTGTGTACATGTGGCAAGGCAACACTCAAAACACCCACCGCGTCCGCCATATTGAGGGGCATTGTAACAACATTCACAAAGGAAAGGTGCGCGTGGGATTTTGGGTTGGTAATTGTCGAGATGGATCACCTGGTAACGCCTACACGGGCTGGATTTCTGTGTCCAGGATCTTCATTGAAGACGTTCCTAAGGCTCAGGCCTAAATGTCAAGGCAAAACATTCCTCTCTGTACTGAAAAACTTTTAAAAGCTCTTTAATCAAGGGTGTAGTTTTATAGGTTACTAGCAGATGGATCATATAGATCGTGATAGTATAAGTAACTAATGGTGTAAGCATAATTTATTAAAAAATGCAGGATGCTTTCAAATATTGTGTTTGTGCTGATCTCTCATTGCTAGAATGTTTGTTTTCGACGGACTAATACATCACTTGCTGCCTTTTCATCTTAGCAACATTCTCTCTAATTAGAGAGGGAAGAAGAAAGAATTATCTTGATTTATTATGAAATCCATTAAAAGGAATCCATAAGAAGTTTTAAAGGCTATTGCATTTCACAGGGTCCAAAAACGAATTTCCCTCTTTCTCTCCTGAGTAAGGTTGAATTTATCGCGTTGCATTTAGGTTGCAAAGCAGATTGTTCTTGTAGCTTTCAAAAGTTATCGTTACCAGAAGAAAACGGTGTTCCCAGAAACAGTCACTTAAGGTAGCCTGTGCTATAAAAGTTGTGAACAGTACTCCCTATTGGCACGCGCAACTTCTTCATCAGCCAATGAGCTGGATTGGAGTGGAATAGAAAAAAGGTGCATGGCTCACACTGTGGTCTAACGTATACAGTAATAGCACTATATGGTATTAAAACCCTTTAACGACCGCTCTAGTCGTTTACGTTCAATTTGGAACGATGCATAGTTTCTTTCCTGGAGCCATTAAGCCTTCAGTTTAAGCTATTAAGTTAGCAAGTACCGACATCAGCAAGGACAGATATTTCAACGGATACCTCGTTTTGGAAATTCCGACCAATCCTGACATAAAAAGACACAAAAACGAAATAACATTTCAGAAAAAAAATCCACTGCCACTTTCCCTTTCCTATAAAGGTAGCCAGCTAAAGTTTAATGCAAAAGAAAGGCGATAAAATGAGAAAAAAGCTCACTTTAAAAAAGGAAAAAAAAGAGCGAGAGACAAAGATCGCAATAGAAAATGTCGAAACACAAAAAAAGCTTCCACAGAACTCTCTCTGCTGTCAACAGCAGTTCATGCAGCAGTTTTTTTTTTCCAACTGTTTTTACCTATGATTATTAGATTAAGACATATAGTTTCTGGTATTCCTGGTGTAAATGGACTTCCGGGATCCACTGGGGCACCCGGCCATGATGGCCGAGATGGAATTAGGGGAGAACAGGGAAGTCCGGGGAAGACTGGGCCTCAGGGACCTACTGGTGCGAAAGGAATGAAGGGAGAACGCTGTATCACAGGTCCTGTCGGTCCCAAAGGAGATCGAAGAGAGAGAGGTGACAGTGGAATCCAAGCAGGGCCACATAACAAGTGTTCCCACTTAAATTGGAAGGAGTGCACGTTTACAAGGGTAGATGGCAAGGAGAGGAGTATAAGTAAGTTGTCAGTTATATTACAGTTGTGTGACAGAATAAAAACGAATAAACTCTTAAATTATAAAGGTCAGACCACTCCTAATTGAGAAAATTTTACAAAAACCGAAGATTGACAGCGCGAGAAGTACGGATTATGCAGTAGGATTTGTTCAATGTGGGTCCGTGTATTACTGTTGTGATAAGTTTAAGTTCTTTTCTTTTAGTCGGTGAATTGTAAGACCAATAATATAAAATCATTTTATTCTTTTCATAAGTTATGCTAAGCCATATTCAGCTATATTGTAAGAGACCGGTTGCAAGCCTTCTAATTCACGGTTTTATACAGATGACTTAGACTCTGATCACGCGAAACTTTAATGCAAAATAGGTTTAATTTTAAGAGAGGTGCGAAGATTGTAAACGTTTGCTCTCGCTCAAGGCCAGGATTCGTGGCCTTTAATATGTAGCTTTATCCAAACTTAAGCGGAGCTCTCTTAGTCAGCGTATATCATCTACAAAAAGCGAAACCTGAATACATAGTGAATTTGAGTCGGCGATACGGTCAATTGATAACTTGAGCAGATTCAGGATCTAAATATTTTATTCGAAGTGTTCAATTAGTTTAAAATGTTTCTGATGATGCTCCTTTTGCGACTGTCTGTTTACACTATCATCTTTATCAACTATAACTCATTTTATTTTGATAACAATCAACAAGTCACTCGTTCTGTTTTCCTTGCGGTAGAGCTGTCAGTTCATGAAGAATTATACACAAACGGCTCTCCATGTCTACTTCGCTGCATGGTAACCCTTGCTTTGCTTCCTGTGACAAGTGCAGCAGCTGCATTCGTTGGTATTTCACATTCAATGGCACTGAGTGTAGCTCTCCTGGTAGAATTGCATGGCGCGTACTATATGGCAACAGCAGCTGGCAAAAACCTTCACCGTCACCGTCACATTGAAGGACACTGCAATAACATTCACAAGGGAAAAGTGCGAGTGGGGATTTGGGTTGGAAACTGTAATAACGGCCATGTAAATGCTGACGCGTACACAGGCTGGACTACAATGTCCCGGATCTTCATTGAAGAAGTGGCGAGAGTAAAATTAATAAACTTGATTGACCAAAGACGCGCCTGATAGCAAAATTGTCTTAGTTCGTGATTTTATCTGTTAACGTTTAACAAAAAAGTTATAACTAAGAAAGAGAATCAGGAAAAGTTAGAATTTGTAGAATGAACTTACTGATTGAACAATAAAGTTTAAGAAAATCAACTTTGTAGAATTTGTTATTCCAAACAAACTTTTTCACAGGATCGTTAAGTAAAAACTGTTACTTGAATTGGTCTTTCAGGCAGTTTGCGTTCGGTTCTGCTATTGCCAGTTCGCTTCTGCTAATCAGTTTTTAATCAGGAGGCTCTCTGCTATAGCCCGAGAGCCTAATTGTTCAAGGATCTCTTGTTAGCGCTAACTGTGGTTTAAAGCCTTATCTCATACTACGACAGGGTCGGGCCAAGTATACCATTCCTGATTTTTATTTTCGGGGTCTCTGCTGACCTTAAGGTTCATTAAAATGTTACAGAGAGGATCGGCATAGTTTTTCTCAGGGATTTCCAACTTGCGCACCAAGTAAAAGTCAATGGGCCAGGTATTTAAACGGAGTTTAACCGGTGTTTCACAATTAAAACCGCGTCCTAAGCCATTTTCAGTTTCCCGGCCAATGCTTTTATCTTTGTTAAAACCATTTATCGTGAAAGTTTTATGAAATCATAACGCGCAGACTAGAAATGCAATTATTTTCTTAAAATTACTACCCACTAAGGAAAAAATGCCTGTGTACAGAGGTGCAATCGATTCGAGATCGTGCTAGATATTAACGAAAACAGTTAATGCGAAATGTACATGGTTGTCTTAAAGTGAGAAGGACTGACTATATAGTAAGTTTAACAAGGAAATTATGCCGAGTTATTTTGTTTGCTGGGATAAAAGTAGTATTTACTAACACAGTCAATATTATTCACTTTTAATTTAAACCAGTAATTCATTTAAGAACCGTTGAGTCACGTAGCCAAAGTCCAACGGGGATATTCCTAAATCTAATCAAGCAATTTCGTTTACATTCAACTGCATAAAGTTTCTCAAATTTCATCTTTTAGCTTTCAGGGCGGTTAGCCGATTCCCGGTATCAATATCTATGTTTTAATGCATTCTACATTCTTATTATTGCATGCCAAAAGAACTGAGAGGCTGACTTCTATACATAGAGCAAACAGAGGACCAACGGGTCTGTTTATTGATCTATTGATCCACAGCAATGATTAAATTTCTGTTATTTTGTTAAAATTAGCTGATCCGAGATTATATTTGCACAAAATATTTATGTATGGCTGAGGTTGACTAAGTGGGAAACTATGAGCTTTCCAATCCTTACTACTCAAGAACCCTGAAGAAAAAAATCGTTGGCTTTAGTTGGTTATAGGATTCAGGCAAATGAAATAAATAAACGTATAAACTAGAAGAATTTAATTAATATATAAATATCAAGTTTATACTTTTCGTGTATGTATAAGGCCCTTATTTGCCATATAGTAATTGATTTGGTCTTTTTTTTGGAAACATGTTCAAATACTAATACAATGTTTAATTAAAAGCAATTTTCTTAAGTTATGTATTGCTGAGGTTGACTAAGTGGGGAACTATTCAGAGCTTTCCAATCCTTACTACTCAAGAACCCTGAAGAAAAAAATCGTCGGCTTTACTTGGTTATAGGATTCAGACAAATGAAATAAATAAACGTATAAACTAGAAGGATTTGTATAGGTAAAAGCTTGATTTGTAGTGATATCTGGCATAAATACCACGAGTGGTATTTCGAAATTGTTCTACGTAATTTCACGAGCCGTCAGGCGAGTGAAATTTGAGGCAATTTTGAAATATCACTCGTGGTATTTATGCCAAATATCACGTACAAAACATGCTATTATTTGTTTATACTACTACCCGCAAAGGTTTTGTAATTTTCACATGTAAATATTTCAAATTGAAGCTGCAATACCACTGCTCTAAGCCAATCAAATTGCAGAATTTCTCATGTAGTTTTATAAAATAATAAATGTCAAGTTTACACTTCCCGTGTATGTATAAAGCCCTTATTTGCCATATAGTAATTGATTTGGTCTTGTGTTTGGAAAGATGTTTAAATACTAACACAATGTTTGATTAAAAACAATTTTCTTTATTTATATAGCTACTATGTCTTCAGTTGCTTGATATAAAGGTACTTGCCCAGCGTACGAATTCAGGTGAATTTTTTCCTCCTGATAACCATCAGCCTGTACTGACATCCCTTTGACGCTTAGTTGAAAATTTTCAGGCAAGTTTCTTTTTTATTTTAATCCTTCTTTCTTAAGAGAGTTATGGCTACACATACCGTTACCCCAACACCTCGTGTTTTAATCTTGGGGCACTCTTTTATTCGACGCCCGCAGAAGTTCATTGAATATCAAATCGGTTACCTTGATTTATCCCTACAAATTACGGCTCCCGCCGATATAACTTGGCATGGCATTGGTGGGCGTACAGTTGCAAAAACGATCAAATTTGATCTGCACGTAGTTCGATCTACACGCCCCGACATAGTTATCGTGCAGCTCGGTATAAATGATCTACCATTTCAGTCTCCTCTACAGGTTGGGTCAGAACTTGAGGATTTCGTTCGTTTGTTGCACGATTAATTCCTACGGGGTAAAATTCGTGTGTGTATGCCAAACTATTCGTCGGCGCTCTGCTAGTAGTGCCTTTAACAAAAACGTAGATCTTTTAACACTTTACCTACGGGTCAGTTTCATTGGACTGCTACTCCAATGCCTGTTTTCGTTATTTTAGATGAGTGTACTTTTAAGTACTGAAACCAACTTAGTTTATTAGTTTTCCTTCTCGAGAGCTCGGCTTGCGTCTTGGTGGGGTTGCCACGTTCTTGTGGCTTGTGGCGGATTTTTGTCCCCACCTTTCCTGAGGAGATGTTAATTAGTTATTTTTATTATTGGTTTCACGTAGCCAAAGTCCAACGGGGACATTCCTAATCTAATCAAGCATTTTTTAAATTTACATTCAACTGCATAAAGATTCTCAAATTTCATCTTTAATTTATGCTTTCGCTTTCAGGGCGGTTAGCCAATTCCCGGTATCAATATCTATGTTTTAATGCATTCTACATTCTCATTATTGCATGCCAAAAGAACTGAGAGGCTGACTTCTATACATAGAGCAAATAGAGGACCAACGGGTCTGTTTATTGATCCACAGTAATGATTAAATTTCAGTTATTATATTAAAATTAGCTGATCGGATATTATATTTGCACAAAATATTTATGTATGGCTGAGGTTGGCTAAGTGGAGAACTATGAGCTTTCCAATCTTTACTACTCAAGAACCCTGAAGAAAAAAATCGTTGGCTTTAGTTGGTTATAGGATTCAGACAAATGAAATAAAAACGTATAAACTAGAATAATTTAATTAATATATAAACGTCAAGTTTACACTTTTCGTGTATGTATCAGTAAAGCCCTTATTTGCCATATAGTAATTGATTTGGTCTTGTTTTTGGAAACATGTTTAAATACTAATACAATGTTTAATTAAAAACAATTTTCTTTAGTTATATAGCTACTATGTCTTCAGTTGCTTGATATAAAGGTACTTGTCCAGCGTACGTATTCACGTAAATTTTTTCCTCCTGATAACAAGAGGTTAATACCTCAGTATAACTTGGTACGTGACATGTTAGTGTTACGAACTTACCTTAGTGTTGGAGATATGGAAAGATATCTTAAAATGGACTATGCCAAAATGATATAAATTGCTCAAAGTAGCATTCTTTTAAAATTAACTCATGTTCCCCGGGGGTTCTTGTTACAGGCTGAAATTTATTTAAAGTTGTTTTTCGAGTTCGTTCTATAATTACGGTCTGCTGGAAATGTGAGACATACTGCATGGAGACGTTGCGACTGACTTCGAAAGTGGTAAACTGGTTGCTCCTATATAAAATTTTTATTTTTTGTCTAATACTGAGACATTTAGATCACTAAATATCGTATGTATTGAAATGAGATCAACATTATTTTGTCGCGATCAGCTCGTCACACGTACATGAAGAAGAAGGCGTAGTCTTATCTTATTTTCATACTTTACCTTTTTTATACACTTCAGTTCCAGCGCTCTTTAAATCTGAATGAGGATGATGTTGACCATTCAGTTTGCCCTCGTAGCAGTTATTCTGCTACCCTGTTTCTGTCTGATATATGCAGCAGAACACATCAGCAACGAAACACAGGTAAGTGATGAAGCTTTATCCGACATATCTTTCAACGGATCATGTTTTTTAGCTGGCAACACAACTTAAGAAAAGAACCTGATAGCCGTGAAAAATCGCTCCGAAACAGTGCATCAGTTGGAAAACTTGTGGCGGTGTAGAGGAGTTTTGCACATTCAGATCAAACAGGGGATACCTCAGAGTCGATATGCATTTATTTACCTCAAATGAACGAAGTGCAGCGATTTAAATTTAATACAATTTAAATTAACTATAAATTTAAATAATTTTTATAGTAACTTTTTGCGCGCAGCAGAATTTAAAGCGGGACTATTCCCTTTTTTGAGAAAAGGACGGTAAAGTCTCCTATATTTCAGATCGCGGCTTAAAAAAGGCTCATATATTTTTCTTATAATACAAACTATATGATGTTCCTTAGTTATGATTGAAACCATTTATTACGTTTAAAACGGACTTGCGAGCCATAACCAATACATACCAAGTTCCCTTGCATTAAGCGAAGGCGACACACCGCGTCGCTTGCTCAGGCTACTCACCCAGAAGAGGACGTGCAGACGGAACTTTGGTCGTTGTTTTGAATCACCAAATACGTTCAATTGCGAATCTTACAGCGTCTAGTTGAAATACAATCTTATAGCAAGCCCCAAACAAAAGAAAAATATATTTGGGAAAACGTTTTCCAAAAAGTATTTTTTTCCTTTTTAGCTTTCGTAAGGCCTCGTTTTTTTTTTTTTTTTTTCAGAAACATTTAATACTTATCCCCGTTTTACAAAGTTTTCTTGTACTAAGCGAAGGCGACTCACCCGATCGCTCACTTTTAATCGGGTTACACACCCAACATAAAAGCACGTACAGAATATACCCTGAACCATGTACATTTCATGAGTTTGTTTTTCGGTGAATTAAACATCTCTGTTCATGTAAAATAATAGAGACCGTTCGCGCAATGGTGTTTTATTAAAAAACAAATAGGGGGAAACCGCGATGGACGCAAGGAATCAGCTAAAATTCATTTAGTTTCGATTCCCCCGTAAAAAAATTATATAAGAGAAAAAGAAAGCTGCTAAGATTTAGAGACTTACAACTCATTTCATCTGTTTCATTGTTGATCAAAATCAAAAGCTTTTATGAGGTTTATACTTGGAATGGCCCTTATTTATGGGCTACCAGTGGGAGTCATGTTGGCCTATCCGATACTTGGAAAACGATTATTTTCAGAGGCAGAGCTCCGTGTTGAGACCGCGTGCAACAATGCAATGCTACGCAATTATTACTGGCTTGTTGTGCAAAGAGTAATTTAACTGTAAGATAATTTTCTCATTAACTGAAACAAAGATCTGAGCATGTAGTGACAACTATAAATCGCACTGGATCATGATGTAGCATGTAAACGTCGGCAACAAGCAGAATAATTGTATAAAGATCAAAGATATTAAATAGCAATTTGGCCGCCACGCGTGTACGTATATTATGAAACACGGATGTCTATAATTTTCAACACATTCCATTGTTTATCAAGAAAATGTCGCACGAAATTAATATAGAGCTTTTCGACTTCTTTAAATTATAAGGGTACTTTTTGTAACACAAAATTGCCTCCAGTGGAAGTTATGCTGGGCCTGTTTCTTCCTAAACAATGTACGACCCCTTCCGAGCTAGTCTCCTACACGGCCGTTTTTAGTGTCGTCACGCAAAGCTCCTCCCCACTAAGTGGTTAGTTAGTGGGGAGGAGCGTTGCGTGACGACACTAAAAACGGCTGTGTAGCAGACTACTTCCGAGCACGCCACGTTAAATTTGGCGGGCATTTAGCCCGGGGGGGGGGGGGACTTGGGTATTTTTTGGGTGGGTATGTGCCGCCCGGGACTGAGTCCAAATAGGCAAACCGTTCTAAAAAAAAAATTCCCCTAAAATTGATACCCCGTTCTAGAAATGGGCCAATTTTTTATACCCCGTTCTAGAATTCGCGCTAAAACTGGTACCCTGTTCTAGAAATGGGCCAATTTTTTATACTCCGTTCTAGAAAGTTTGTAATTTGAAATAACCCTGTTTTTTTAAAAAGATATTTCTTTATTTGTTCGACTTATCATCAAATAAATGCTTCTTCATAATCAGCAACAATTTTAAGCAGAAGATAAAGCCGTGATCCACAATTTTTTATACCTCGTTCTAGAAAACGCCTCTGAAATGGACACCCCGTTATAAATCAGGAGCTTCAAAACCACGACCCCGTTGGGCGGCACATACCCGTATAGGTAATGTATGGGAGTACCCCCCCCCCCGGGGGGGGGGCATTTAGGAGGTTTCGGCGCAGAAAATATGTTCGAGGCACAAATAAATAAATTAAGGGAAAAAAATCGAACACTGCGCTTACCTTCAAGGAGTCTTACGATTAAGCAAGTCATTATAAAAACCAGAATTAATGTGTCGCAAGGTAAACCAACTGATCTAAGGCTGGATTGGCCTCGCTTTTGAACCAGTGTCACGAAGGAAGCCTGGCCATCTCCGGTTGTCAGAAGAGAAGCTTGAACTCTCCTAACCTCTCCGATCTGTTAAAAGTTTCCTTCAAATACCAATCGCTTCTAAGGGAAATGATTTTGAACCAACACAGAAATTTTCGACCAGGATACGGCAAAAAAAAACTCACATATACTCCATACAGCGATGGCTTGATCGGGCTCATCCGATCCGGAGAATAGTGGAAAAGACCGCGCTCGACTTTGTTTACCCCGCCTAGTATTGTTTTAACCATATTAACAAGAGACTATAAAGGGGACAGAGAGGGCATCCCCCATATACACCCTATTCCATAGGTAATTCGTCTCGAGTTATTTTTAACACCACAGATCTCAAGGAGGGTTAGACAACAGCCAATCACATAGCGCGAATGTGTTCCGCGTGGATGACCCACGCTGAGAGCCACGCGTCCTTCACGAAATGACACAGAACAAAATGGGGGAAGACGCGGAGAGCGATTTTGCTATTCCTTTTGTCGACGAAAACGACTACAGCGAGATTTCTGCGAAAGCTGTGTCAGCGAAACCGAAAATAAAAAAAGAATCGCCCTTTCTCTTGTATAGAGCTAACAGTAGAGCAGGGAAATCCTTAACATACTGAATATTATCTCAGGATCATTTATAATTTACAGTTTTAGTACGCAATATTGACAACGCAATGTAACGAACTTTGTAAGATCGCGCGCGCTTTAAATTCAACGGCGATTTCAAAATATGTAACACTGAAGATGACGGATGTACCGTCGAAACATGTCTGGAAAATTAAAGAAAGTTGTTATGTTTATACGACTATCTATATTGTTGCTGCTATCTAGACCTTTTGAATTTACAGTTTGAAGAGAGCAGTTTCTGGTTTGATGTTTATTTTTTTCAGTCTTTATAGCGATTATTCCTACCCACTTACTTTGTCAATTGTAGGCGAACCCTCCTAAAGCTGAATTTCAAGGGATCGTAATCAAGCTCAGAAAGAGAAATAAAATTTCGTCGTTGCTTATTTACGTCATCCATAAAACGCGAAATTAGGCATTTTCACGTCATAGTCGTGCAAAAACGCGAAAGAAATGAACAAAAAAGTGTGTTGCACGTGCGAAGTTGTTGTTTTGCTAATTAAACCTATTGGTTTTTTTTGACGTTCTAGTTGTCGTCCGCGTCGTTGGATCTTAAACTCCCTAAATTGTACAAACGACCGGTTTCAATAGACCGGCGAAATTTCTCATTTTATTAAAGCACTGAGGTTACGACAACTTCGAGTTAAACTGATTTCACGGGTTGTCAAAGAGTCCAGCGATTCCTTTTTCCCAGGTGAGCCCCGACTCATTTCGCTTCAATATTCAGGAATGCTCTTGATCTTTTTGCGCTTTCATTGCCTCTCGCCCGACATGTTTTGCACGGCGTTTGGTCATGCGAAACCTCTACGAAACATCCACGCCTCGCGCGAGGTAACTTTATCCCGATTCTAAAAGTAACTCGAGACGAATTACCTATGGAATAGGGTGTATATGGGGGATGCCCTCTCTGTCCCCTTTATAGTCTCTTGATATTAACAGACAGTTGCGAAATTTAGAATTGTTTTATCGCCTCTGTGAAAATCACTATCGATACTGCCAGTCTGACCCCCTAATATATTCCTTTTTATGTATGTCTTCTGACCTCGTTGGCAAGTACAAAATACTAAAGAATTCTTACTTTCAAACAAGTCCAGGAAGGTTCGTTTATATACATAAGAAAGAATGAATAAATAATTAGCCGCCATTATGAAAGAGGTCTATTGTATTTCTTGACCAAGGATATAAAGCACGTCCCAGGTTTTCGTTAACTCAATTAGTCTCAGTTGATTCCTTTGGTTTTAACCTGAGATCAGGCCCAATTTTAGCATACATTCTCTCTAACGGCGAATGTTATTTTCAAAGCGAAACGAAAATAGAGCCTGATCTCAGGTTATTTGGCTTAGAATATGAAGAGCAGCTTCCTATTTAAGTTTGCAAAAGCAACGGTAAAAATCCAAAATGATAAAAACCATGTATCAATTAGCATATGCTATTTTTTTCTCGCTGTCTTCAAATTTTATTAATTTGGTTGTAACTTTCTATTTCGCTGACCTAGGAAAGGGAAAGCAAAAAGAAAATCAAAAATGTAAACGGAGTAGAAGAAGAAAAACATTAACAGCAAGCATATGTATCCCAATATTGTTGCTGTTGTTATTATTATTATTATTATTATCATTATTATTTATTTGTTTATCGGTAATTTATCAAATGAATGTTAAGACTTTTTTCTTGTTACAGGCATCTCTTTCATGCTGTTGTGGTGGTATTCCCGGCATGCACGGGTTACCAGGCCGTGACGGACGTGACGGCCGAGAAGGACCGAAAGGTGACCGGGGAAGCCCGGGAAAGACTGGGCCTCGGGGACCTGCTGGTGTAAATGGAAAAGATGGTGCTAAAGGAGAGCCTGGTGTACGGGGCCCACCAGGTCCAAAAGGAGAGCGTGGACAAGGTCTAATGCCCTTTAAGAACTGGAAAGAGTGCGCTTGGAAAGATTTAAACGATGACAAAGATAACGGTTTAATAAAGGTAAAGTTACAAGAACTTCTTGGTCCCCATTTATCTTTTCTGCTTTTATCTTATTGTACCCGAGCGATTTAACCATTCTATGTTTATTTCCGTCATATTTAGGACTGTGTCTTCACCAAAAACTTTTCTGACACCGCTCTTCACGTTTCCTGGACTGGTGCGCTAAGAATCTACAAGTGTACAGACTGTTGCAAACGCTGGTACTTCACTTTCAACGGCGCAGAGTGTTCAGCTCCCTTACCCATTGACGGTATTGTGTACATGTGGCAAGGCAACACTCAAAGCATTCTCCGCGTCCGCCATATTGAGGGGCATTGTAACAACATTCACAAAGGAAGGGTGCGCGTGGGATTTTGGGTTGGTAATTGTCAAGAACGATCACCTGGTGACGCCTACACGGGCTGGATTTCTGTGTCCAGGATCTTCATTGAAGAAGTTCCCAAGGCTCAGGCCTAAATGTCGAGGCAAAACATACCTTCCTGCAATGAAAAACTTTTAAAAGTTCTTTAATCAAGAGTGTAGTTTTATAGGTTACTAGCATATGGATGATATAGATTGTGATGGTATAAGTAACTAATGGTGTAAACAAAATTTATTAGAAAATGCAGGATGCTTTCAAATATTTTGTTTGTGCTGATCTCTCATTGCATGCTTGTTTTCTACGGACTAAAATACATCGCTTGCTTGCATTTTCAACTTAGCAATGACCATTAATACATTCTCTCTAATTAGAGAGGGAAGAAGATAACATTGTCTTGATCAAGAGCCAGTAAGGGCGTTAAAGAACAAAATTTCTGTCTGGCGGGAAAAGATGTGCTCAACTATACTGCAGAGTCCTGGTAATGTCCTTGAGAAAAATACTGGAGAACCTAACATTTACTTCTTCCACTTTCGACCAAAAATACGTCCACACTTATCTGGCTTCTCCGGCTCCTTTTCCTATTTCGCCAAATACAGCAGTCGGAATAACTGTAATTTTACCGTTGATTTTAAAGGATCCAATTGTGTAGAAGTTATTTCCATTTGCTTTGGTAATAAAGTTCGTAGCTGAAGCAGGACAATTTAACCATATCAAAGTCACATTGCTCTACTTTGGCCGCCATTTTTTTGGGGGGATGAAAGCAAGTCTTCCGGAAGTCTACCACTTCACCGGAAGTCAGCTGGGTAACCGGAAACTGTTTTCGCATGGTCCGCATAGTTCTAAAAATAACTTTTTTGGGATTAAGGTATCCCGGCCAACGCCCTGAGTGTCCCTCTCTGTCCTATTATGGCTCTTGTCTTGATTTATTATGAAATTCCATTAAAAGGAATCCTTAGGAATTTTTAAAGGCTGTTGCATTTAACAGGACCCAAAAAGGAGTTTTCCCCTTCGAATCTTTTTAATACGAACTTAAAGATCTCCCGAGTAAGGTTAAATTTATCGGGTTGCATTTAGGTTGCAAAACAGATAGTTCTCATAGCTTTCAAAAGTTATCGTTACCAGAAGAAAACTGTGTTCCCAGAAACAGTCACTTAAGGTAGCCTGTGCTATAAAAGTTGTGAACGGTACTCCCCATTGGCGCGCGCAACTTCCTCACCAGCCAATGAGCTGAATTGGAATGGAATAGAAAAAAGGTGCATGGCTCACATTGTGGTCTACCGTATATACAGTAATAGCACTCTATTGTATTAATTAATAAATCCCTTTAACGACCGCTTTGGTCGTTTTCGTTCAATTTGGAACGGTGCATATTTTCTTTCCAGGAGCCTTTAAGCCTTCATTATTATTATTAAGTTGGCAAGCAAGGACATCAGCAAGGACAGATATTTCTCCGGATACCTCGTTTTGGAAATTCCGACCAATCCTGACATAAACAGACACAAAAACGAAATAACATTTTCGAAAAAAAAAATCCACTGACACTGTCCCTTTCCTATAAAGGTAGCCAGCTAAAATTTAATGCGAAAGAAAGGAGATAAAATGGGGAAAAAGCTCACTTTAAAAAAGAAAGATGGTGGGAAGAAAGAGAGCGTGAGACAAAGATCGCAATAGAAAATGGCGAAACACAAAAAAAGCTACCACTGAACTGACTCTGCAGTCAACCAGTCTATGCAGCAGTCTTTTTTCAACTGTTTTTACCTATGATTATTAGATTAAGACATATATATGTTGCAATGATGGGCAACCGGGTAGTAATGGTATTTCTGGTGTAAAGGGACTTCCGGGATCCACTGGAGCAACCGGCCCGGACGTGATGGCTCAAAGTAGTATTCTTTTTAAATTACCTCATAGTGTTCCTAGTCTACTATTATTCATGGAAATCCCTAGTCTAATATTATTCACTTTTAATTTAAACTGCTCATTCAAGAACCGTTCAGTCACGTAGCCATAGTTCAAGGGGACATTCCTAATCTATGAGATAAAAAAATTTAGTTCTTTTACATTCAACTGCATAAAGTCTCCCAAATTTCATCTTAAGTTACATGCTCTCGCTTTAAGGGGGTTAGCCAATTCCCGTTTCGATCTCTATGTTATAACGCATTCTACATTCTCATTATTGCATGCCAAAAGATTTGAGAGACTGACTTCCATACATAGAGAGCCAAGGTCGGTATGTTGATCCAGCAAGTTTCTGTCATTGAAATTAGCTGATCCGAGATTTTAGTTTCACAAAAGTATATATATGTATGGCTGAGTTTGACTAAGTGGAGAACTATGAGCTTTCGAATCCTTACTCTACAACCCTGAAGAAAAAAATCGTTGGCTTTATTCACACAAATGAAATAGATAAACCTATGAACTAGAAGAATTCAATATAAATGTCAAGTTTACACTTTCCGAGAATGTATACAGCCCTTACTTGCCATACAACTAGTTTGGTCTTGTTTTTGGAAACATGTTTAAATTACTAAAACATTGTTTAATTAAAAGCGATTTTCTTCATTGATATAGCTATTATGTTTTCAGTTGCTTGATATAAAAGTATTTGTCAAGCGTATTCACATCCATTTTTTCCCCTTTGATAACTTAGTAAAGGTTATAATACTTCAGTGAGTATAACTTGGTATGAGACATTTTAGTGTTACGAACTTACCTTAGTGTTTGAAATATGGTACAGGAAAGATTATCTGAAAATGTATACTATGCCAAAATGGTATAAATTGCCCAAAGTAGTATTCTTAAATTACTTCATAGTTTTTGCCGAGGGTTTTTGGAACAGGCTAAAAAAAGTTAAATTTTTCAGTTGTTTTTCGAGTTCGTTCTATAAACCCATGCCCATTATCTCAGGGTTTGCTGTCTCAACTATATGTCACATTATTTTGATATTACTCATTCTATTTTCCTTGTTGCGGCCAGTTGTCAGTTTATGAAGAATTATTACACAAATGGCTCTCCATGTCTACTTCGCTGGTAACCTTCCTATTGCTTCCTGTGACAACTGCTGCAGTCGTTGGTATTTCACATTCAATGCTGCTGAGTGTAGCTCCCCTGATAGAATTGATGGCGCGTTCTATATGGCAACAGCAGCTGAGCGGGCAAAAACCTTCACCGTCACCGTCACAATGAAGGACAGTGCAATAACATTCACAAGGGAAAAGTGCGAGTGGGAGTTTGGGTTGGAAACTGCAATAGTGGCCATGCACTTGCTGACGCGTACACAGGCTGAACCACAATGTCCCGGATCTTCATTGAAGAAGTGGCGAGAGCACAACAGCAAACTTCACTGTCCACACATGTGCAATCGAACGGAGATCATGCTAGATGTCAACGAAACCAGTTAATGCAACAAGCATGACTTTCTGAAAATGAGAAGGACTATATAGTTAAATCAACAAGGAAATTTTGTGGCGTTATTTTGTTTGCTGGTATAAAAGAAATGTTTATCAACACTTTCAACAATTCGAATATTGGAAACAAAGAGATAAACGAATTAGTCAATATTATTCACTTTTAATTTAAACTGCTTATTCAAGAACCGTTGAGTCACGTAACCATAGTCCAAGGGGACATTCCTAATCTATGAGATAAACAATTTTAGTTCTTTTACGTTCAACTGTGTAAAGTCTACCAAATTTAATATTAAGTGATTAATTATTACCCAATTCCCGTATCAATATCTATCTGCCGGTAACGCATTCTACAGTCGCATTATTGCAGCCAAAAGAATTGAAGTAGAGACTGACTTCTAGACATAGTTGACCATTGTCGGTATGTTGATCCAGCAATGATTAAATTTCAATTATTAAAATTAGATGATCCGAGATTATAGTTGCACAGAAATATATGACTGAGGTTGAATAAGTTTGGAACTATGAGCTTTCCAATCTTTACTACTCTAGAACCCTGAAGAAAAAATCGAAGCTTTGGTTGGTTATAGATTCACATAAATAATAAAAAAATAAACTTATACATAAACTAGAAGAATTAAAAATGAATGTCAAGTTTACTCTTTCCGAGTATACACTGAAGCCCTTATTTGCCACTGATATATCTGATTTGGTCTTGTTTTTGGAAACGTGTTTAAACACTAAATCAATGTTTAATTAAAAACAATTTTCTTTGTTTATGTAGCTACTATGTTTTTACCGAGTTGCTTGATATAAAGATACTTGCCTAGCGTATTCACGTGGATATTTTCCTTCTGATACCTAAACGTTAGTACTTCAGTATAACTTGGTATGTGACATGTTAGTGTTACGAACTCACCTTAGTGTTGGAGATATGGAAAGATATCTTAAAATGCACTATTCCAAAATGGTATAAATTGCTCGAAGTCAGTATTCTTTTAAAATTACCTCAAGTTTCCCAGGGGTTCTTTAATTATAAGAGGCTGTAAAAAACGTTAAATTTTTAAGTTGTTTTTTGAGTTCGTCCTTTAAACCCAAGGAGCTCACGGTTTGTTGGAAATGTGAGGCATACTGGAGACGTAAGGTCCGCGACTGACTTCGAGAGTGTTGAACTGGTTACTCCTATATAAAATATTTAGTTTTTTCCCTTATACTGAGAAGTTTAGATCCCTAAAGATCGTATGTATTGAAATGAGGTAAACATTAGCAGATGCTTTATTTTGTCACGATCAGCTCGTCACACGTACATGAAGAAGAAGGCGCATAGTCTTTTCTTATTTTCATACTTTACCTTTTTTATACACTTCAGTTCGAGCGCTCTTTAAATCTGAATGAGGAAGATGTTGACCATTCAGTTTGCCCACTTAGCAGTTATTCTGCTGCCCTGTTTCTGTCTGATACATGCAGCAGAACACAACAGCAACGAAAAACAGGTAAGTGATATCAACAGCTATATACCAAATAAGCTCTCTCTCACTTCTGGAATTTTGAAATAATAAAAATAACTTGAAGGCAAACACGAAAATGGCACTTTTTTAAAGTACTTTAAATTTTTTCACTTTCATTTTGGCCAGAAATGAGACCATGACTAAGTATAATTAATTTGGTAGTAAATTCCTGCTGCGCTGACCCAGAAAAAAACTTTTGAATACTGATGTTGCATTTTCGAAATATAGTTTATAACTATACCAGAGACCACTTTTTGCTGTCCATTAGTCTATGCGGTAGCGTTTT